CACACGTTCTGCGCGGACTGCATTCGCCAGCTCGAGCCGTTTTCTGTGCGTCGCGTGAACGGGGAACGACGTTCGCCAGAAGATGACATGCAGGGGCGCAACTCTGGCTCAACAATCCTGTGTCCGGAGTGCGATTCAGAGGTGGATCTGCCCCCGTCCGGTGTGGATGGGCTGACCATTGACCATCTTGCGCTGGACGAGGTTTTCGCGGAGACCCTGCTGGTGGACTGCAGGGTTTTGTGCGACTTGTGCAGCGAAAGTGACGCGGGGAAGCGCTGTGAGGTGTGCTGTGTCAATCTCTGCGACTTCTGCAGTCAGGCCCACAGGTTAGTTTATTAGAGGCGGTTTGGTAATTAACATGAAAAGTAGCCATTTATTTACCCCCATAAGCCATGTATGACTTTATTCCTAGAACACAAATGGAGATGTTAAAGGGATAGTTAAAAAAAAAAACTTCTGTCATAATTTGTTTTACCCTCACGTTGTTTCAAACCTGTATGGTTTTTCCAAGTATAATATTAAATATTATCAATATTTCCTTTTCCAAAATGATGTATTTTGAGAGCATATGAGACGTCCATCTACTGCAATAAAGGATATAGTGGTAATTATTCCTATTTATGCATTCTCAGCTTTGTCATACAAACAGTCGTCGCAAAAGTGCTCCAGACAGGTTTGTACGAGTTAGGAAGTCTTATAAAATAAGACTTAATAAAGCAAGATTATTTAACTCTACTTCTACAAAATGATAAAGAATGTGCAACAGGTGTGTTTTATGCATTCTATGAAAGTGTTGTGAACTGAATTGTTATATATGCTATTGTAATTGTATAATACTATAATATTTTGTACCTGCAAGAAAAAAAATTCAACTAATTTTATCCTTCATCCATTGATTCCACCATGAAGTTCGGACCTCAAAGAAAATCCAGTTTCCCTCTCTAAATTACAACATTGTGGTGGCATTCACATTTCCGTCATGACTTGAACTCCTGAAATGTGTCTTCCCTGCAAGAGACAGAAGAGGACCACCTCTCACTCTATCCAAAGCCTACAGGAGCTGAAATCTCAGGGTCGTCTCACTAGACCCGTCTTGTGCTCACTGCATCCTGGCCAGGAGTTACGGCTCTTCTGTGAGTCCTGTGACTTCACCGTGTGTCTGGAGTGTGCGGCCACCTTTCACCGTGACCACCACTGTAGCTCTGCCCATGAAGTCATCAGTCATCATGGCGATCGCATCAGGGATCTGGTTGTCAGGAGCTTAAGGCCCCATCTTGCTCGTCTGGAGGACTCTCTGAGACGCGTGGACACTTCCCAAGAGGTGCTGCAAGCACGGACTGATACATTGGCGGGTGAGATCCGCGCGTTTGCTCGGAGCTATGCCAGCGCGGTGAAGGCACATTGCTGTTCACTGCTGCGATCACTGGAGGACTTAAGGTTGCAGCGCAGGAACCAACTCCATCTGCAGAAAGCTCAGCTGCAGCAGGCCTTGTCTGACATCCGTGGTGGGGTGGACTTCGCAGAACGCCTGCTTACGTGTGGTTCTGACGCTGAAATCCTCAGTGCCAAAGGAGTTACTATGAGGAGACTGATGAACCTTGTGGAGTCGGGATTCGACCCACACCCAACGACAGTCGCCCATGATAATGCCAACAGCATCTGTTTCCTTCCCCAAGAGAGTGCTGGGGAGGTGCAGGGATTTCCTGTGGTGGGAGTCGTACATGCCAAGACTGTGGATCCCAGCAAGTGCACGATCCAGGGAGAAGGTGAGAGTAGGGTACTGCCATCGTTGTACATGGATAGGCTTCAAAAATTGTTTTTTGGCAATGGGGGTATTTTTTTTCAAAATGTACTTAGACCTGATGACTTAGAGAAACACCTCAGTCTTAAAGGGATAGTTCACCTGAAAATGAACATTCACAAATCAGATGTGGCTACTTTACACACAACTCTAAAGAACAGATTTTCAGTGAATAATTTGAATAATTTTTGGTCTGTTACTCATAAAAGGCCATCATTTGGTTGTAGCAGACTTGATTTTTGTCATTTTGGAGCTTGACCATGCCAGTCCCTATTCAATTTCCTTATGTTAAAATAAGAGACTATTCTTTCAAAATTCAAAATATATAAAAAAAAACCTTAGGTTTTATGTTCCATAGAAGAATGTCATACAGGTTTGAAATGAAATAAAGTTCAGTAAATTATGACAGAACTGCTTCCTTTAAAGTAAAAAATTAAAGTAAATCTGCCAGTTGTTTTATACTTTTATTAGCCTTTCTCCCTTTGAATTTGGTCATTAGTCTAAATATTGTTACTCATGAAGCTATGTGGTCACATGCAGTACAAGTGTTTGGTATGGGGACTTTACTGTGTAATTTTAAGCTCTGTTGGTCAAACACATGATGGTTCAGTGCACATTCCTCAGAAACAGTACAGCTCAGATGAAACTGTATATTTGAAGCTTTCTGAGTTCAGATTGTGTGACAAGATCTTCAGTCTGAAAGTGAGACCTTTTATCCGCTTTTGTCCCCCCCCCCCCTGCACACCCCCTGCACACACAAACGCACACACACACACACTTACATAGATAAACATACACATACAAGTGCACACACCCAAAGGCCCTAGGGCATGGCACTGGGATAAACAGCAGACAACATTCCTGGCTACCATGACAACCCAACCTTTTTATGTACTGGAGCTCCTAGAGTATAATTGTAAAAGGGACACTTATCCAGCTCTGTCCCAGCATGCCACAAGTAGGTTCACAGCAGGAGGAGAATACACTGCTGTTTGCCAGTGGCGTGCGGGCTGACCGTCCATGTCAGGTTTCCCACAGTCACAGAAAACAAGAAACTGTCATTTGTAAGAGCTTGTGTAAGCGCTGATGTGAACAAGACACAATCCAGTTCTGATTTGATGATTTGATTTCATCAGATCTTTTTACTCCTTTACAAAAAAAACCCATTATAAATCAGAATGCATTTTTTAATTAATCTGTGCGCATGTTTTTTTATTTTTATTTTTACTTCACAAGTCTTAATCCAAATGTTATAACACTGAATGTGTTCTTCCTGTGAAACAACAGACTTCTCTCTGGTGACATATGCCGGACTTCTCCACTCATTTAGTCTGCATAAACCCATCCCTTTAATGCAATCGACTGCAAGCTTGCATTCAGGTCTGCCTCCATCTAATCAACAACTGATGGATAGCACCAAGTCTTTGTCCGATATATTTTTTCTTTTTTGATAATCCGTTTCACTTAGATGCATGTCTCAATTCAGAAGAAAAGACCTGTCGCTACTTCTGTTACATATCCTGTGTCACTGGCACGTGTCTGTCCTTGAATATCTCACAGGTGTGGAAGGAGGTCGTGAAGGCCAGAGGGGAGAGTTCACTCTGCTTTGCAGGGACTCCTCCGGAGAGCAGATGGGCCGAGGTGGAGACCCCGTGCTGGTCAGCATAGTGCACAAGGAGAGGAAGGGCTGGTGTGTATATATCACTAAAATCTTTACATGGTTGAAGCATTGGCAAAACATTTTTGCCAGTGCTTTCTAATTACAGATTCTTCTTGAACTATCAATGCGCATGTCATTTCATCAAATGAACATATTTTGTTTGAATTTATTCTGAGATTCTTCTTGTTCATGAGTGAATAAATAAATGTTTTAGGCCTTTTAAAATTTTATTATTTAGGCCTGAATGTAAGATTTATGTATTTTAATTGCAAATAAAAATTTTATTACATAGTATTAATAAACTAATAAACTTAATGTGATACATATTGATCAGCCATACTTAAAGGGATAGTTCACCCAAAAATGAAAATTCTGTCATTATTTACTCACCCTCATGTTGTTCCAAACCCGTAAGACCTCCGTTCTTCATCGGAACACAATTTAACATATTTTTGAAGGAATCTGAGAGCTCTCTGACCCTCCCATAGACAGCAATGGTCTTTACACGATCAAGGTCCAGAAACGTAGCAAGGAGATCGGTCAAATAATCCATGTGACATCAGGGGTTCAACCGTAATTTTACGAAGCTACGAGAATACTTTTTGTACGCATAGAAAACTAAAATAACGACTTCATTCAACAATTCGTCTCTTCTGCATCACCCTAGCGCCATTTTGGAGAAGATCCACTGAACGTAAACAGCGTATGCTATTCTGTGTCAGCTGCGTCACACGGATATGTTAAAAAAACCGACTTTATTCAACAATTCGTCTCCTCCGCGTCACCCTGGTGTCATTTTGGAGAATATCAGCTGGACGTAAATTGCGTATTCTGTTTTGTGTCAGCTGCGCCACGCAGATACATTGTTTTCGTTCAAATCAAAGCATAAACGACGTAAGCTGTGTAGCCGCGTGGCACAGCTGATACAAAACAGCATACGCAATTTACGTTAAGTGGATACTCTCCAAAATGGCACTAGGGTGATTTCTTTTGCGCTCAAAAAGTATTCTCATAGCTTTGTAAAATTATGGTTGAACCCCTGATGTCACATGGATTATTTTACCGATGTCCCTGCTATGTTTCTGGACCTTGATCGTGCTGTCTATGGGGGGGCCAGAGAGCTCTCAGATTCCTTCAAAAATATCTTAATTTGTGTTCTGAAGGTGAACGGAGGTCTTACGGGTTTGGAACTACATAAGGGTGAGTAAATAATGACAGAATTTTCATTTTTGGGTGAACTATCCCTTTAAATGAAACAAGAATGAGATTTCTGAAGTAGTAGAAATAATAAACTGAATGTGTTTTAAATACACTGTAACACAAGCCTAGAAAGGAAAAGAAGAAATTGGAGTTAAAATATTACACATTCCATTATTGGCATCTGATATCAGATCTTATCATTATTCAGACTGTGACTTTTCATGAGTGTGTCTGTCACTTTACAGCTCTGTGGAGGCGGCTGGCGGCTGTGGGGGTGATGGTTCCTATGGTGTGTCCTACACCCCAGCTGAAGCAGGTCTTTACTCTGTGTGCTGTGTGGTTAAAGCACAGGACGTCAAGGTAAGTGTTTAGTTAAACCAGTGCAGCTGTGTCTAATAATGATAGCATTTTACTGGCCAGTTTAAAGGAATATCAGTGATGCTGGGAATGATATTCTAACAAAAGATGGTTTCTAGGGTTCACCATTTGTGCTAAATGTGAAAAGGAAGTTCAGATGTCACCGTGGCATATTCCATTGTTGTTCCTTCTGCTCCAGCGGGGGCACTAAAGAGGCACGCTGTGGCTGCACAGGAACTATGCCAGGTACTGTTTACTCTGTTTTTGTTTACACCAAAAATGTAAAAAAAAATATACATATTTTTAAAAAGTCTGTTTTCACCTAATATGAATTTCTGTGTGTTTGCGCACTCAGGAGGGTTTCAGGGTTGTGGACATGGTCATACAGGACACCCCGGTAAGCCCCACTGGTCATGTTGTGGGAGTGTAGTGGAGGCCTCAGAGTGTATTCTACATAACCTGGGCAGCGTTTCTCCTCGTGGACACCTCAGGACTGTGGAGCTCTGAGACAAACAGCAAATATACACTCTATCTGATCAACATAACCATAAACTCATGCACATACTTGAATCTTCTCAACCAGCCTAATTCACAATGAAAAATCAGATTGTGCTTTTCATGTTGCCCTTATTCATACAGACTTTAAGCCTTAATTTGTGTGATAAATATTTTTTGTTGTTTCAGCAGTGCTAATATTCAGAATCATGGCAGTCTCATAAACTGCAGTAGGCAAAGTATATTTAAAATTGTGTTGTCTATTGTGCATCGTGCCAACACTAAATACTTAAGTACTGTCAGTATTGTAAAAATGTAACTATTTTCTCTACACATTTTAATGTCTGGCATTTTGTAGTTCCGTATTTTATCATAATCAGCATGTTTCCTTTGATATTACCCAGCTATATGACCAATGAGGTATGTGTTATTATAATGCTTTATTTTATATGCTCCAAAAGCTGCCTTTGTAATTGTATGCATCTATTACATTTCAGTTGTTTTTGTATACACTGCATCAGTGCCACAGATTAAACAACACTTACCTCTCCACTTGTGTGGTAACTAAACTGGCACTTTTAAGATTATCATTTTGATTGTTAATGTAATATGTTTTGCATAGTGTATACTCCATGTAGTGTGGTCTATAAAACATGCATATAAGACATATTTTAATCTGTGCAGTTATTGTTTGGTTCTCATCAAACAACTAGTAGTTTTACATATTTATATATTTGCCACTTTTTTATTACTGATTTTAAGCACAGATTTTTTGAAATCAGAAGTGACGGTTTAAACTTAAAATGCTTAACGATGGATTTTCGCTTTTCACTTCACAAGATGTTAATTGACAGACTGGCGTCGTGGATTATTGTGATGTTTTTATCAGCTGTTTGGACTCTCATTCTGATGGCACCCATTCACTGCAGATGATCCACTGGTGAGCAAGTGATTGAATGCTACATTTCTCTAAATCTCTTTAGAGAAGAAACAAACTCGTCGTGCTGGATGGCCTGAGGGTAAGTACATTTTCAGAAAATTTTCATTTTTGGGTGAACTATCCCTTTAAATGAAACAAGAATGAGATTTCTGAAGTAGTAGAAATAATAAACTGAATGTGTTTTAAATACACTGTAACACAAGCCTAGAAAGGAAAAGAAGAAATTGGAGTTAAAATATTACACATTCCATTATTGGCATCTGATATCAGATCTTATCATTATTCAGACTGTGACTTTTCATGAGTGTGTCTGTCACTTTACAGCTCTGTGGAGGCGGCTGTGGTGGATAAGGGTGATGGTTCCTATGGTGTGTCCTACACCCCAGCTGAAGCAGGTCTTTACTCTGTGTGGGTCTGTGTTAAAGCACAGGACGTCAAGGTAAGTGTTTAGTTAAACCAGTGCAGCTGTGTCTAATAATGATAGCATTTTACTGGCCAGTTTAAAGGAATATCAGTGATGCTGGGAATGATATTCTAACAAAAGATGGTTTCTAGGGTTCACCATTTGTGCTAAATGTGAAAAGGAAGTTCAGATGTCACCGTGGCATATTCCATTGTTGTTCCTTCTGCTCCAGCGGGGGCACTAAAGAGGCACGCTGTGGCTGCACAGGAACTATGCCAGGTACTGTTTACTCTGTTTTTGTTTACACCAAAAATGTAAAAAAAAATATACATATTTTTAAAAAGTCTGTTTTCACCTAATATGAATTTCTGTGTGTTTGCGCACTCAGGAGGGTTTCAGGGTTGTGGACATGGTCATACAGGACACCCCGGTAAGCCCCACTGGTCATGTTGTGGGAGTGTAGTGGAGGCCTCAGAGTGTATTCTACATAACCTGGGCAGCGTTTCTCCTCGTGGACACCTCAGGACTGTGGAGCTCTGAGACAAACAGCAAATATACACTCTATCTGATCAACATAACCATAAACTCATGCACATACTTGAATCTTCTCAACCAGCCTAATTCACAATGAAAAATCAGATTGTGCTTTTCATGTTGCCCTTATTCATACAGACTTTAAGCCTTAATTTGTGTGATAAATATTTTTTGTTGTTTCAGCAGTGCTAATATTCAGAATCATGGCAGTCTCATAAACTGCAGTAGGCAAAGTATATTTAAAATTGTGTTGTCTATTGTGCATCGTGCCAACACTAAATACTTAAGTACTGTCAGTATTGTAAAAATGTAACTATTTTCTCTACACATTTTAATGTCTGGCATTTTGTAGTTCCGTATTTTATCATAATCAGCATGTTTCCTTTGATATTACCCAGCTATATGACCAATGAGGTATGTGTTATTATAATGCTTTATTTTATATGCTCCAAAAGCTGCCTTTGTAATTGTATGCATCTATTACATTTCAGTTGTTTTTGTATACACTGCATCAGTGCCACAGATTAAACAACACTTACCTCTCCACTTGTGTGGTAACTAAACTGGCACTTTTAAGATTATCATTTTGATTGTTAATGTAATATGTTTTGCATAGTGTATACTCCATGTAGTGTGGTCTATAAAACATGCATATAAGACATATTTTAATCTGTGCAGTTATTGTTTGGTTCTCATCAAACAACTAGTAGTTTTACATATTTATATATTTGCCACTTTTTTATTACTGATTTTAAGCACAGATTTTTTGAAATCAGAAGTGACGGTTTAAACTTAAAATGCTTAACGATGGATTTTCGCTTTTCACTTCACAAGATGTTAATTGACAGACTGGCGTCGTGGATTATTGTGATGTTTTTATCAGCTGTTTGGACTCTCATTC